CTCTCTCAGACAAAAAGGTTCCCGACCCCTGCTTTAGTTTCTTCCTGAAAAGTTCCAGAAGCATCCAGTGTACACACAGTATTGCTGTTGAATTATTTAATCTGACAACTCTTTCCAAACAATAGTTGTGTGCATATTCTTTTCTTAAAAGTGTATTAAACCATCTATACGTTAAGCAGGTTTGAAGTGCTTATGGAGGCAGACCCAGATGTAGATATTAAAAGTTTGTTTTAACTGGAGATAGAGCCATTGAGTGTTTTTTTCCCCCTTCTTCTGATGCTAGGTAAACAAACAAATGGAACTTAATTAATTGCACATTAAATGAGCATATGCAAGACTAACAGAACAGTCTGTGAGCGATAACATTCATGGGAATTCTCTCTTTTCTGTCCCCAACTCCCAAACAATAAAATACAGTAAAGAAAATGAATGAGTGTGCAGGACCAGCCATGTGGCAGTATCCAGCTATTCCCCATCCTCCAGCACCTGCTGAGACCATCGTCTTTAGGGCAAGCCATAGGCTCATGTGTATAAAAGGGCTTTTTGCATAGGGGAACCTGCACTCCTCCACTATTGAAATGCAATTCCTCAGAATTGCCACTAAAAAACCCAGGAGCAAACAAATGCATATTCAGGGCCACTCACTGATAGATGATGGGCAAGTTGAATTTTAACTGATCTCCCAATAATTTTTACACTACTTTCTAAATACAAAGAAAGCAACTTAAAGCAGAAGTTCTTTTTTGCTGATTAATTGGTTTTACCTAAAGCCATCAAATACCTCCAACATCACTTTCAAATTCTGACTCCACTTTTGCCGAGAATGGCAATTTACCGTTTGCCAAAAAGAGACATCAGGTTTGGGATATTTTAATTCATCAAGTGTATGGAAGATTCATTCCTGGAAACAATTTAAATAGGAACATAAGACATATTCACCATAATGGGGAAGACTGTGAGCCTGCTGTGGTGCTCATTAAACATGGATAACTTCAAGACCATCTCCGACCTTGCTTGTATGATTTTTCATCTTTTATCCAACATGGAGTAGCCATGGACACACTCTCAACAGAGGACTGTTCTCTCTAAAGACACAAGAACCCTCACAACTAAATCTAAAGTGGGAGACTGCGACCCCTCAGATGCCACCGAATTACAACTCCATCTCTCATTACATGTGGTAGATGGGCTGCTGGGAACTAATTCAGCCACACCTCCTTAAATTTTCTGCAACTGGGAATATGTTTCTGTTGCGATGAAGGAACAAGCCATTTTCAAGGATGCTGAGAGTACAGAAATATTGCACGCTGTCCTGGAATCATGAAATGAACTACGAGCATTCTAATTAAATGTCATGCTGCTCTTTGTTATTTGAGGAACACAGCCTTTTCAGTAGGCTATTTCAATTACTTCCATATGATAAGGAGGCAAGATTCAATTATTTTAAACAATGTTTAATGGAATGATCTCTCCAGTTGCAACTGGGCACTTCAAAAGCTAGGTAAGGGGCAACAAACTTTTAACTTCAAAAACATAATTTAAGAATCATGCTGAAAAGAGACAGGAGTCGAGATCTGTGAATTGCCAAATTCAGCACTTTTCCAATTCCTTGGGGGTACTTATGTCATCTCCCTGGGCATAACCCAATTTACTGCCAACAGATGAAACTTCCCAAAACCAGGTCGCACCAACAGAGAAAGCAGGAAAGGATATGAAGTAAGTGGATTTTAGCCAGTGTCCCCTTTATGACAATGTCCCTAAAAATAAATAAGCTTCCTTAAGATAACTTGCATACAAATCTTTCCCTGTAATGAAGGGTACATGTTGTATATGTTCAAGTGTTTAGTCCACTAACATCCTGCACAGCATAAATGCACACAATTTAACACCTCCCAGAATTTCACGCTATGCAAAGGGACTACAAGAGCAATATGGGGCCTTTCTAGTTTCAAATAGCAGATTTAATTAAAAAAAAAATCCTGTCTTTTCAGGAGTTCTGGAATACCAATGCCAGTTGTAACTGGGGAGATGGACAGATAGCCCACCTGGGAAAAAGAACTTTCTAGAAATCCCAAGAGAAAGCTGGTCCCAGAATTCAGGAACCGTAATATTCCGGCGTCTCATGATTATCTGACGACTGACATTGGAAGACAGAACACAAGGAAGCCAAGAAACAAAGCCTTCCTGTCTCTACAGATTAAACACGCAGTTATACCTCCCTTTCAGCTTCTCTCACAGCCACCAAAAACGGGAGACAAGGCTCTCATGTAGAACAAGCAGGTTTGGATATGGGAAGCAATTTTAGAGCCTGATGCATCCTCATTTTGGAGCAGTGAGCGGAACAGAGAGCCTAATCTGATGTCCTCAGGGTGGACAAGCTCCCTTCTTGGATTAGCCACTAATGGGATTTAGCAACTCATCCAATATCTCTCTTCAATACAGGAAGAGAGGGGGCTAAATGCCACTTTGGATCAAAGACACCCCCACCTCATAGAGAAATGCAGCTCAGTTAAGCTGTTTCTAATTAAAATAGTGCCTGCATGTCCATCACCGCTCCGGAGTTAGCCACGGCAACCCCAGCCAAAAGGACCTTGATGCTAAAGAGAAGGCAGGAAGTGGGGGGAAGGGGAAGGGAAACAGAGATTTAAAACTATAATCACCAGTTAATATGAAGTTTTCATTGGGGGAGCAGAAGGAAGCACAGATCTTTGTGTTTTGGTCATGTGTAGAAGCCCAGAATCTTCTACAGAGAACCCCTTAACTCACTCAAACACATGATACTTTGCCTCATGGCACACTCATACAAGTTGGACAACTCTTAAAACAGATTTTAAACTCTCAATTCAGACTGAGAAGAGACAGGAGATGCACAGATCTCAGTTCAGAAAACATGCATTGCATACTGAATATTTGGTTTGCCTTAACACTCTAAGCTGTGTGTTCCAATGACAGAAATAGAAAGGAAGCAACAATTTTGAGTCATGAACTGTATCACGTTCATCTCCCCCCCCCCATGCCAACCAAATGCAAAGAGCAGATCGGAGACAATAGCTACATAAAACGAGTTTAATATCCAATGGGAGTGCACAGAGGTCGTGGTGCATCCAACTGTTCAAAGAAGGGGGGAGGCGAGAAAAACACAAACAGGGAGCCATGGCCCATAGTATGAAGAAATCAGAACTAAGGGAAAAGGAAAGCACTTTACACCAAGCAGAGGGAGCTGAAGTTTTGAGGGGGAAGTGGCAAGGAGAGAGCAAAAGAGGAATAAATACACATTTGCCAGAAGGGGGGAGGGGAATACGTAGTACCAACACTGTCCAGAGGCAGGGAGTGACCCAAAAGTTACATGCAGTGATCTGGGCTTGACCCTAATACAATCATTACTCCCCAAAATTAACAAGGGAGAAAAACGACTCTGCCACTTCCCCCAGCACGGGAAAAAGAAACGTTTGTGGGCTAGAGCACAGGCCCAAGGGCAGCAGAGAGAGGGAGGGAGGGTTGTCCACTGGGGTCATATCATGCAACAGGGCAGCAATGAGAGAGCCCCCTCCTTTACAGCTTCCAAGGGGAGAGAATAGCAAGTTGGTTGGTGGAAACATCTAGCAGCTGGGATGCCCTTGCACGTGTGCATACATCCCTTGGAGGGAAAGTCCAGGCCAAGTAGCCAAGTATGGCATTAACAGGCAGCTTTTGATAGCCACTGGTCCCAAATCTTCTGCAGCAGCCCATTGATGCTGATCCCCTTTAGGGAGCGGGTGAGGAGAAGTAGAGAAAAAGGAATTTGTGCGACCTAGGAGGCATTATTCAGGGCTCTAGCGCCATTTGGTCTAAGAGGTTGGAATGCCAATGATTCAGCTCATCAGCAGCGTAAGAGAGCTAAGCGCATGAGCCACTAATCAGATTGTTAACAGGATGATAGAGAGGACGGCAAGAATAGAGCAGGACATTCAATACGACTGCAATCTAATGCCAACAGGGGGAGCCAGCTAATATAGACAGGACAGAAAGAATACATACGCTGGGAACCTAAAGTCCTTCTGCTCCTCCCCCTGCAATTCTTCCTTCCTTGTTTCGCTCAGCCCCTGCACACATGGAGGCTATACACCATCTCCCTTATCTCTTGGCCTCCTGACGTGGGATTTTCCACCAACCTGCACCAACAGCACACGAAAGCAAGAAGCAGCTGCCACTGAGGAGTATTGGTCACCTCCAAACAAAGAGAGCCAAATTTCACAGACCACCAAAAATACAAAAATTGATCCAACAGAAAGAAAGAAAGAAAGAAAGAAAGAAAGAAAGAAAGAAAGAAAGAAAGAAAGAAAGGCCACAGAATTGGCATCCAACTCCCACTTGTCCCAACCCTCCCACCGCACCCATATATTTTATTATCTCTATATATATATTTATCACACACACACGCGCACACACAGAGACCGTGCAAAAAATCCTGGCAGAGCCAGAACATGAGAAAAAGAGAGAGAGAGAAAGAGAGAGAGAGAGAGAGAGAAATCAAAAG